ATCCAAAGTCAAAACACTGTGTTAACCCGTTCTGGAGCAGGGACAACTTGTGCTGAGCCGTACTGTTTGTTTTTTTCACCTTTATTTAACCAGGTAAACCAGTTGAGAACAAGTTCTCATTTACAAACTGCGACCTGGCCAAGATAAAGCAAAGCAGTGCGATAAAAAAAACAACAACACAGAGTTACATAATGGGGTAAAACAAAACATAAAGTCAAGAAAACCGTGTTGAGTCATACCTTACTAGAACCACAATGTTGTGTATCAGCGTACCTGAGCATTTGATCTTGGTTCCCCCCACCCTGCAGTGCTGTATTAACCCATACTAACGCAGAGCCTTGCTGCGTCACAGTGTACCTGCGTTAACACATCCCTGAGTAGAATCATGATGTGTAGAAACCTACATGAACATTTTATCATTGTTCCCCCCCCTGCAGAGCAGCCTCTTCGTGGTCTATGAGCTCACTGAAAAATATCGACCGTATTAAACTTCAACTTCCGCTAGCCTCTGTTACCCTCTACAGGGCTGGCTGGCTGAAGGGTGGCTGATTATGATGGGATCATGCTGTTAACACATTGCTGGAGTCCTAACACCTTAGGGGTCTACAGCCACGCCTCAGAGCTTACCTTAAACAACTGGGACATTCCTGTGCTGAAGCCGACCTGGCTTTAGGGGGGGGTTTTGGGGGGGGGGCCCCCCCCCCGGGGGGGGGGGGGGGGGGGAAAAGGGGGAAAAAAGGGGGAACCCCGGGGGGGGGGGGGAAAAAAAAAGGGGGGTTTTTGGGGGGGGAAAAAAGGGGGGGGGTTTTTGGGGGGGGGGGGCGGGGGGGGGGGGGGGGGGGGGGGGAAAAAAAAAACCCCGGGGGGGTTTTGGGGGGGGGGAAAAACAAAATATCACGGGGGGGGGGAAAAAAAGGCGGAAAAAGGGGGGGGGGAAAAAAAACAAAAAAGGGAAAAAAAAAGGGGGGAAAATTATAAAAAAAAACAAAAAAAAAAGGGGGGGAAAAAGGAAAAAAAAAGGGGGGGGAAAAAAAGAAGAAAAAATAAAAAAAAAAAAGAATTTTTTGGGGAAAAAAAATATAGATAATTAATTCCCAGTCTTTACCCCCCCCCCGGGGGGGGGGCCCCTGATTTGGGGTACTGAAAATTTGGGACCCTAAAATTAGGGGTTACAGACCCTGGGCCCTTTTGGGAAAGACAAATTGGTGCTAAAGCCTACTGAGCATTTGATCTTGTTCCCTCCTTAGAGCGGCTCCTCGTGGTCTATGGCTACTGGACAAGAGAAGGATCCGATCTCTGCTACTTTACCCAGCATCTCCTCTGGTTACTGCACAGAGACAGAACTTGGTTCCCCTCCGTAGGCTGCTGCATCACCTGGTGGGGGGCAGAGAGATTACATTAGAACAACTTTGGGGAGAAGGAAGACAGAGAGGGGGTGATGAGGGAAGGAAGAGACAGAGAGGGGGATGAGGAGAGAAGAGAGAAAAAAAAGGGGGGATGAGGAGGAGAGGAGAAGAAGGGAGAGGAAGAGAGGAGAGAGAGAGACAGAGAGGGGGATGAGGGAAGGAGAAGGAGAGAGAGAGACAGAGAGGGGGATGAGGGAAGGAGAAGGAGAGAGACAGAGAGGTGATGGGGGAAAGGGAGAGAGAGAGAGAACAGAGAGGTGTGAGTAGGAGAAGAAGAGAGCACGAGAGGGGGATGAGGGAAGGAGAAGGGAGAGAGACAGAGAGGGGGATGAGGGAAGGAGAAGGAGAGAGACAGAGAGGGGGGATGAGGAGAAGAGAGAGAGACAGAGAGGGGGATGAGGGAAGAAGGAGAGAGACAGAGAGGGGATGAGTGAAGTAGAAGGAGAGAGGGACAGAGAGGGGAGTAGTGATTGAAGGAGAAGGAGAGAGACAGAGAGGGGATGAGGGAAGAGGAAGGAGAACAGAGAGGGGGATGAGGTAGTAAGGAGAGTGATGAGACAGAGAGGGGGATGAGGGAAGAGAGGAGAGAGACAGAAGGGGGATTTGAGGAAGGAGAAGGAGAGAGACAAGAGGGGGATTGGAAGGAAAGGAGAGACCAGAGGGGATGAGGGAAGAAGGAGAGAGACAGAGGTTTGGGGATGAGGTGACGAGGTAGATGGAGGAAGAGAGACAGAGAGGGGGATTGAGGTATAAGATCAGGAGAGAACAGAGAGGGGATGAGGAAGAGGCGAGAGGACAGGAGGGGATGAGGGAAGGAGAGAGACAGAGAGCGGGGATGGGGAAGAAGGAGAGAGACAGAGAGGGGGATGAGGGAAGGAAAGGAGGGAGAGGACAGAGAGGGGGATGAGGGAAGGAGAAGGAGAGAGACACAGAGAGGGGGATGAGGGAAGGAGAAGGAGAGACACAGAGAGGGGGATGAGGGAAGGAGAAGGAGAGAGACAGAGAGGGGGATGAGGGAAGAAGGAGAGAGACAGAGAGGGGGATGAGGGAAGGAGAAGGAGAGACACAGAGAGGGGGATGATGGAAGAAGGAGAGAGACAGAGAGGGGGATGAGGGAAGGAGAAGGAGAGAGAGGACGGTAGGGGGGAGGGCTAGATGAATACAGTGCTGAGAGAACCACAATTTTGATGAAAGTATCTTTCCAGTTATCAGATCATCTGTCTCTCTCTGCTGTTGCTATCCTCAAAGTCCCAAAAGTAACTATTCTATTTCTGTTCAATTCCAACAAACATGTTCCTGAGAATAACGCCTGCTTGCCTCCCTCCCTTCCCCACTTCTCTCTCCCTCCCTCCCTCCCTCCCACCCTCCCTCCCTCCCTCCCTCCCACCCTCCCTCCCTCCCTCCCACCCTCCCTCCCTCCCTCCCTCCCTCCCTCCATACAGATAGGGCCCGGAGAGGGAGTCTTCCTCCTCTCAGCTCTATGTGTGCCCGGTGTCAGAGAGACTTTCACATCCCTCTGTCTAGCCTGTTGGTCCCAGATCGGTTAGTACTGTAATGCCAACTCCTGTGGGTGTTCTATGGTAGACAAACAACCAAAGGAGTTGGCAAGACAGCACAGACAGATCTGGAACCACCAGGCTATTCTTCAGTCTCTCAGCCCCCCTGGGAACTGGGTTGAATAGCGACGGTCTATAATGTAACAGGGTTTGGGTTTAAGGCAGAGCCACACAGTGCCATCTTACAGTGCTGCCTTCATGCAGTTGTGTGGCTTTCTGCTGTTCAGACAGACATCTCAGACAGCAATGGCCCGATTTTGACGAAACTCGGGTGAATGATGCATCTTGTCATAGAGATCCAGCATTTACAAAATTACACTGATTGGCCAGATGGTGGCGCTATAACAAGGTATTGAAAATGCAAACTTTGAACAGTCACACCCCTCACCCTGTTTGACATAAAGTCATGAAATTCAGTACATAGGTCCCTCTCCTCACAAGGAACAAATTTGCCTTTAAGGACCCATAAGATCCGTCATTATGGATGTTCCGCCATTTTTGAATTTGGTGATAAACACTTAAAACGCTACTCTTCTGGCACCAAAATGACCGATCTGCACTGAACTTTTGACGAAACTTGGGTGAATGATACTTGTCATAGAGATCCGTCATTTACAGAATTACACTGATTGGCCCAAGAGGGGCCCTGCATCATCGTGGGTGAAGACATGCTTACTGTTGCCTTGTTCATAAAATGCACCACAATACACAAGCAGCATGAATGCCATCTGTGTGTTAAGGCCTTCAAAAATAAACTATGTGGAATATGAAATCAAGTAAAATCATTATTACACTAATGTTAGTTCATGGTTACAACAGCAGTCTGAAACTGTTGTGTGATCATTGTGTTCCTACCTCAGCCATATCGATGGTTCCTACCTCAGCCATATCGATGGTTCCTACCTCAGCCATATCGATGGTTCCTACCTCAGCCATATCGATGGTTCCTACCCTCAGCCATATCGATGGTTCCTACCCTCAGCCATATCGATGGTTCCTACCTCAGCCATATCGATGGTTCCTACCCTCAGCCATATCGATGGTTCCTACCCTCAGCCATATCGATGGTTCCTACCTCGGCCATATCGATGGTTCCTACCTCGGCCATATCGATGGTTCCTACCTCAGCCATATCGATGGTTCCTACCTCAGCCATATCGATGGTTCCTACCTCAGCCATATCGATGGTTCCTACCCTCAGCCATATCGATGGTTCCTACCTCAGCCATATCGATGGTTCCTACCTCAGCCATATCGATGGTTCCTACCTCAGCCATATCGATGGTTCCTACCTCAGCCATATCGATGGTTCCTACCTCGGCCATATCGATGGTTCCTACCTCGGCCATATCGATGGTTCCTACCTCGGCCATATCGATGGTTCCTACCTCGGCCATATCGATGGTTCCTACCTCAGCCATATCGATGGTTCCTACCTCAGCCATATCGATGGTTCCTACCTCAGCCATATCGATGGTTCCTACCTCAGCCATATCGATGGTTCCTACCTCAGCCATATCGATGGTTCCTACCTCAGCCATATCGATGGTTCCTACCTCAGCCATATCGATGGTTCCTACCTCGGCCATATCGATGGTTCCTACCTCGGCCATATCGATGGTTCCTACCTCGGCCATATCGATGGTTCCTACCTCGGCCATATCGATGGTTCCTACCTCGGCCATATCGATGGTTCCTACCTCAGCCATATCGATGGTTCCTACCTCGGCCATATCGATGGTTCCTACCTCGGCCATATCGATGGTTCCTACCTCGGCCATATCGATGGTTCCTACCTCGGCCATATCGATGGTTCCTACCTCGGCCATATCGATGGTTCCTACCTCAGCCATATCGATGGTTCCTACCTCAGCCATATCGATGGTTCCTACCTCAGCCATATCGATGGTTCCTACCTCAGCCATATCGATGGTTCCTACCCTCAGCCATATCGATGGTTCCTACCTCGGCCATATCGATGGTTCCTACCTCAGCCATATCGATGGTTCCTACCTCAGCCATATCGATGGTTCCTACCTCAGCCATATCGATGGTTCCTACCCTCAGCCATATCGATGGTTCCTACCTCAGCCATATCGATGGTTCCTACCTCAGCCATATCGATGGTTCCTACCTCAGCCATATCGATGGTTCCTACCTCAGCCATATCGATGGTTCCTACCCTCAACCATATCGATGGTTCCTACCTCAGCCATATCGATGGTTCCTACCCTCAGCCATATCAATGGTTCCTACCTCAGCCATATTGATGGTTCCTACCTCAGTCATATTGATGGTTCCTACCTCAGCCATATCGATGGTTCCTACCTCAGCCATATCGATGGTTCCTACCTCAGCCATATCGATGGTTCCTACAGCCAGGGTCTTGTACCCCAGGATAGTCCTGTTCTTGTATCTCTTCCTCCTCTGCAGCAGGATCTGGAGCTTGTTGCCCTCTCTCTTCAGGAAGTGAGGGTACTGAGGATGAAATACGAAAATAGAGGAGAGAGGAATCAGTTTTATAACAACATCGTTCTTAAGTAAGTGGAAAAACATGGATGCAGGAGAGTTCATGATTTCTCCATATGCCATTTTCAGGCCTTTATCCCAGGTGGCGCCACTCCCATGTGCCAATAGTTCCTCGACCTAGTGCAGACAGAGTTGTTGGCGCTATCTGACTTAAGACAATAGAATGGCCTTGCGTTATCTTTACCTGCAGTGAGAAGGTGAGAGCTAGGTCAGTCTCCACCGAGCCACTAGGGGGCAGCACTATCTCGTGGGACCTCAGGATCCTCTTGGAGCCCTGGGAAAGGAATCACACATCACCAGACTGTTTGTCAGCCATTGATACCATTCATATTTCTGCAAAACCTCTGCTAAGCTCCAACAGTCAACCAGCAGGTAACAAGCTAAACGTACAGGACGTGAAGCATAAGAATGCATCTGTCAGCTTGGATAACATTTGTCTTAAGAGGATGTATGTGACATCTATGCAGTCTACCTGGATTGTGTGAAAGTGTGTGTGTGTGTGTGTGTGTGTGTGTGTGTGTGTGAACTCATGTCATCTTGATTCTCAGGTGTATTTCTGCCGTACCTGCAGCCAGGTGAGGTGTGAAAGGTCAGAACGTTACCTGGATCTTGACAGCGATGACCACAGAGATGAGCTCCTTGTCCAGCTCCCTCAGAACCACCAACTTCTTCAGAGTCAGACTGCACAACCTACACATAGAAGATGGATACAGAACAATTAGGCCTAGTATTGACACTTGCGCGTACACTGAGTGGACAAAACATTAAGGACGCCTGCTCTTTCTATGACTGACTGACTGACCAGGTGAATCCAGGTGAAAGCTATGATCCCTTATTGATGTCACCTGTTAAATCCACTTCAGTCAGTGTAGATGAAGGGGAGGAGACAGGTTAAAGAAGGAGTTTTAAGCCTTGAGACAATTGAGACATGGATTGTGTATGTGCGCCATTCAGAGGGTGAATGGGCAAGACAAAAGATTTCAGTGCCTTTGAACGGGGTATGGTAGTAGGTGCCAGGCGCACCGGTTTGTGACAAGAACTGCAACGCTGCTGGGTTTTCCACGCTCAACAGTTTCCCATTTGTTATCAAGAATGGTCCACCACCCAAAGGACATCCAGCCAACTTGACACAACCGTGGGACGCATTGGAGTCAACATGGGGCCCAGCATCCCTGTGGAACGCTTTCGACACCTTGTAGAGTCCATGCCCTGACGAATTGAGGCCGTTCTGAGGACAAAAAGGGGGGGGGGGGGGTGCAACTCAATATTAGGAAGGTGTTCCTAATGTTTGGTATACTCAGTGAATATGCTCGCGCACGCACACATTGTTCATGTAAATAAACTAAAATGACCATATTGAGTAAACACCATACAACAACAACAACACCAAAGACATGAATCGGACATCATCACAACCCAGCCTTGAACTGACCTGCTGCGCAGCTCACATCGAAACCTTCAGAAGTCACTCTACTGTGTATCATCATTCTTTGTGATTCAGAGCGGCATAACTATTTCATGGGAGGAAACCGATTAGCCTTCCTGTCATCTAAACTCTCCACTTCTCAGTGATGTACCCTGACTGATGCATGAATAATACGCTGTGATCGCTCTCCCATCTCCATCCAAAAGACACAATTCAAGAGGAGTGGAAAAAAAACTTTTGAAAAGAGATGGCAGAGAACAGGCTGGTCTTTCTGAGAAAAAAAAAACAGAAATTTGCTAAAGAACAGAGATCCTGTTCAAAGCACTGGATCTGTTAGTGATGCTTGATGCTTAACTATGGGTGTCTGGGGGGGGGGGGGGGGGGGGGGGGACAGGCTATTGAGGCTAAATCCTCTTTCACTTTCCTTTACATGGTCTGTTCTGGTTAGAGGAGAGGAGGGACTGTTGCCAACATCTCAGACTGTCCCAAATGGCACCCTATTTTCTATATAGTGCACTACTTTAGACGAGGGCTCATAGGGCTCTGGATGCCATTTAGGGCTCCTACTAAAAGGGGCGGTAGACATCTTTGTGTCGCTCTGCATAGTCACAACTGGAGGAGGATTTAAAAAGCCCCTCACGATGTTTGACTCACTCCCTGGAAAAAGACACTATACATTATTATTCTCACGCTCTCTTTCTTTCCTTCCTTCCTTCCTTCCTTCCTTCCTTCCTTCCTTCCTTCCTTCCTTCCTTCCTTCCTTTCTCTCTCTTCACTTTATCTTCATTCCTACAAGAGAAGCTAGCGAGCTGCTTGGAAAACCTGTCTTCTAGGGTGGCTAAATGGCAGTTACTTTCCCAAAATTCCCAGGTTTGGAGTAGCCTGGAGAAATCCCGTCTGTTTGTGCTAACATCGCACTCCTTGCCACTCTATAATAAAATAAATAAAATGGAAACGCAACACGCAACAATTTCAACGATTTTACTGAGTTACAGTTCATATAAGGATATCAGTCAATTGAAATAAATTCATTAGGCCCTAATCTATGGATTTCACATGACTGGGAATACAGAGATGCATCTGTTGGTCACAGATACCTGGTGTGACCACTATTTGCCTCATGCAGCGCGACACATCTCCTTCGCATAAAGTTGATCAGGCTGTTGATTGTGGCCTGTGGAATGTTGTCCCACTCCTCTTCAATGGCTGTGCAAAGTTTCTGGATATTGGCGGGAACTGGAACACGCTGTCGTACACGTCGATCCAGAGCATCCTAAACATGCTCATTGGGTGACATTTCTGGTGAGTATTCAGGCCATGGAAGAACTGGGACATTTTCACCTTCCAGGAATTGTGTACAGATCCTTGCGTCATGGGGCCGTGCATTATCATGCTGAAACATGAGGTGATGGCGGTGGATGAATGGCACGACAATGGGCCTCAGGATCTCGTCACGGTATCTCTGTGCATTCAAATTGCCATCGATAAAATGCAATTGTGTTTGCTGTCCATAGCTTATGCCTGCCCATACCATAACCCCACCACCACCATGGATCACTCTGTTCACAACGTTGACATCAGCAAACCGCTTGCCCTCACGACGCCATCCATGAAGAGCACACTTCTCCAGCGTGCCAGTGGCCATCGAAGGTGAGCATTTGCCCACTGAAGTCAGTTACGACGCCGAACTGCAGTCAGGTCAAGACCCTGGTAAGGACGACGAGCACGCAGATGAGCTTCCCTGAGACGGTTTCTGGCAGTTTATGCAGAAATTATTCTGGTTTCAGACGATCCCGCAGGTGAAGAAGCCGGATGTGGAAGTCTTGGGCTGGCGTGGTTACACGTGGTCTGCGGTTGTGAGGCCGGTTGGACATACTGCCAAATTCTCTAAAACGATATTGGATGCAGCTTATGTCCTCCCGAGTGGCGCAGTGGTCTAAGGCACTGCATCGCAGTGCTAGCTGTGCCACTAGAGATCCTGGTTCGAATCCAGGCTCTGTCGTAGCCGGCCACGACCGGGAGACCCATGGGGCGGCGCACAATTAGCGTTGTCCAGGGTAGGGGAGGGAATGGCCGGCAGGGATGTAGCTCAGTTGGTAGAGCATGGCGTTTGCAACGCCAGGGTTGTGGGTTCGATTCCAGTATGAAAAATAAATAAAAATGTCTGCACTCACTAACTGTAAGTCGCTCTGGATAAGAGCGTCTGCTAAATGACTAAAATGTAGAGAAATTAACATTAATTTCTCTGCCAACAGCTCTGGTGTACATTCCAGCAGTCAGCATGCCAACTGCACGCTCCCTCAAAACTTGAGACATCTGTGGCATTGTGTAGTGTGACAAAACTGCACATTTTAGAGTGGCCTTTTATTGTCCCCAGCACAAGGTGCACCTGTGTAATTATCATGCTGTTTAATCAGCTTCTTGATATGCCACACCTGTCAGGTGGATGGATTATCTTGGCAAAGGAGAAATGTTCACTAACAGGGATGTAAACAAATTTGTGGACACAATTTGAGAGAAATAAGCTTTTTTGTGCATATGGAACATTTCTAGGATATTTTATTTCGGCTCATGAAACATGGAACCAACACTTTACATGTTGCGTTTATATTTTTGTTCAGTGTAGTAATATAAATAAGACCGATCTAGCAGTTTTATGCAACCTCAACATTACCACTACATTTACATTATTTAGCAGACGCTCTTATCCAGAGCGACTTACAGGAGCAATTAGGGTTAAGTGCCTTGCTCAAGGGCACATCGACAGATTTTTCACCTAGTTGGCTCGGGGATTAGAACCAGCGACCTTTCGGTTACTGGCACAACGCTCTTAACCACTAAGCCACCTGCCGCCAGTAGGATGGGGGACAACTCTGTTGTTACCCCACCTCAACATGGGCTAGTCTGTCTGCTGCCAGAATGACATCATTTATAAACCCTTCCAGGGGACGTGATGTTACTCTTATCTTTCACCATGTGCTGCTGGTTTATTTTGACACACAGTACAGTGGGAGTTTGGTGTACAACGTTCCTGGCCTGAGATGTGGAAGATACAGTGAGGAGAACAAGTATTTGATACACTGCCGATTTTGCAGGTTTTCCTACTTACAAAGCATGTAGAGGTCTGTAATTTTTTATTATAGGTACACTTCAACTGTGAGAGACGGAATCTAAAACAAAAATCCAGAAAATCACATTGTATGATTTTTAAGTAATTAATTTGCATTTTATTGTATGACATAAGTATTTGATACATCAGAAGAGCAGACCTTAATATTTGGTACAGAAAACTTTGTTTGCAATTACAGAGACGTTTCCTGTAGGTCTTGACCAGGTTTGCACACACTGCAGCAGGGATTTTTGCCCACTCCTCCATACAGACCTTCTCCAGATCCTTCAGGTTTCGGGGCTGTCGCTGGGCAATACGGATTTTCAGCTCCCTCCAAAGATGTTCTATTGGGTTCAGGTCTGGAGACTGGCTAGGCCACTCCAGGACCTTGAGATGCTTCTTACGGAGCCACTCCTTAGTTGCCCTGGCTGTGTGTTTCGGGTCGTTGTCATCCTGGAAGACCAAGCCACGACCCATCTTCAATGCTCTTACTGAGGGAAAGAGGTTGTTGGCCAAGATCTCGTGATACATGGCCCCATCCATCCTCCCCTCAATACGGTGCAGTCGTCCTGTCCCCTTTGCAGAAAAGCATCCCCAAAGAATGATGTTTCCACCTCCATGCTTCACGGTTGGGATGGTGTTCTTGGGGTTGTACTCATCCTTCTTCTTCCTCCAAACACGGCGAGTGGAGTTTAGACCAAAAAGTTATATTTTTGTCTCATCAGACCACATGACCTTCTACCATTCCTCCTCTGGATCATCCAGATGGTCATTGGCAAACTTCAGACGGGCCTGGACATGCGCTGGCTTGAGCAGGGGGACCTTGCGTGCCCTGCAGGATTTTAATCCATGACGGCGTAGTGTGTTACTAATGGTTTTCTTTGAGACTGTGGTCCCAGCTCTCTTCAGGTCATTGACCAGGTCCTGCCGTGTAGTTCTGGGCTGATCCCTCACCTTCCTCATGATCATTGATGCCCCACGAGGTGAGATCTTGCATGGAGCCCCAGACCGAGGGTGATTGACCGTCATCTTGAACTTCTTCCATTTTCTAATAATTGCGCCAACAGTTGTTGCCTTCTCACCAAGCTGCTTGCCTATTGTCCTGTAGCCCATCCCAGCCTTGTGCAGGTCTACAATTTTATCCCAGCTCTCTGGTCTTGGCCATTGTGGAGAGGTTGGAGTCTGTTTGATTGAGTGTGTGGACAGGTGTCTTTTATACAGGTAACGAGTTCAAACAGGTGCAGTTAATACAGGTAATGAGTGGAGAACAGGAGGACTTCTTAATGAAAAATTAACAGGTCTGTGAGAGCCGGAATTCTTACTGGTTGGTAGGTGATCAAATACTTATGTCATACAATAAAATGCAAAATAATTACTTCAAAATCATACAATGTGATTTTCTGGATTTTTGTTTTAGATTCCGTCTCTCACAGTTGAAGTGTACCTATGATAAAAATTACAGACCTCTACATGCTTTGTAAGTCGGAAAACCTGCAAAATCGGCAGTGTATCAAATACTTGTTCTCCCCACTGTATATGTAGAGAGCTGTGGCCAAAAGTAGTGCACTATATAGGGAATAGGGTGCCATTTCAGATGCAGCAATAGCCTAGTCTAGTGAACCCTGGAGACTCGGGGAGAGACCACACGGGAGTCCAGTTACCAAGCTGTCATTTAACTGAGATTGATGTTGATTCCTAGAATGACCATGGAGGCATAACAGCATAGAATTACATTTTAGAACACATTAGAACACATATTAAAACACATTAGAACACATATTAAAACACATTAGAACACATATTAAAACACATTAGAACACATTTTAGAACACATTAGAACACATATTAAAACACATTAGAACACATATTAAAACACATTAGAACCAGTGGCGACCCGTCATTCAGGGCAGGTGGGGCAGAGCAACAAAATATATATATATTTATATATACAGTACCAGTCAAAAGTGTGGACACCTACTCATTCAATGGTTTTTCTTTACTTTTACTATTTTCTACATTGTAGAATAATAGTGAAGACATCAAAACTATGAAATAACACACATGGAATCATGTAGTAACCAAAAAAAGTGTTAAACAAATCAAAACATATGTTATATTTGAGATTCTTCAAATAGCCACCATTTGCCTTGATGACAGCTTTGCACACTCTTGGCATTCTCTCAACTAGGTCTCACAAATGTTCTTCTTTGTGATCCGAAGAACATTTGTTCTTTTTTCAAATTTTCCTCTGTCCAGTGTCTGTGTTCTTTTGCCCATCTTAATCTATAATTTGTATTGGCCAGTCTAAGATATGGCTTTTTCTTTGCAACTCTGCCTAGAAGGTCAGCATCCCGGAGTCGCCTCTTCACTTTTGACGTTGAGACTGGTGTTCTGCGGGTACTATTTAATGAAGCTGCCAGTTGAGGACCTGTGAGGCGTCTGTTTCTCAAACTAGACACTAATGTATTTGTCCTCTTGCTCAGTTGTGCACTGGGGCCTCCCACTCCTCTTTCTATTCTGGTTAGAACCAGTTTGCTCTGTTCTGTGAAGGGAGTAGTACACAGCGTTGTACGAGATCTTCAGTTTCTTGGCAATTTCTCGCATGGAATAGCCTTCATTTCTCAAAACAAGAATAGACTGATGAGTTTCAGAAGAAAGTTATTTGTTTCCGGCCATTTTGAGCCTGTAATCGAACCCACAATTGCTGATGCTCCAGATACTCAACTAGTCTCAAGAAGGCCAGTTTTATTGCTTCTTTAAATCAATTTCTAATGATCAAACAGTTTTCAGCTGTGCTAATATAATTGCAAAAGGGTTTTCTAATGGCAAATCCTTTTTAATCCTTGTCATATGAAGATAAATAATGAAGAGAAATTATAGATAAAACGTATCGGTGTTCATCGGCCATTGGACATAAACATTACACAACAAGTTGGAAATCGCAAATTCAACAATGAGTGGTTTGGAAGGAATCAGTGGCTAACTGCAAGCATTGCAAAGCAATCACTAGCCTGCTATTAAGTGGAGTGGCTGTGTGGTCCAAGTCTGGGTTTAAGGGTCTATTTTCCAAGCTTAAAATGATAAACATTCAACATTGGCCATGATGTCAATCCAGCGCTCAAAACATCTGGAAACTCAGAACTGGGAAATCTGATTTCAGTGAGTTCAAGACAACTGGGAACTCTGGAAAAAAAAACGAGCTCCGACTGGGAAAATACGTTTCGAACGGTCATCCAACTCGGAATTGCAAGTCGGGAACTCTGGCCTCTTTTCAAGAGCTCCGACCTGAAGATCACTGACGTCATCATGATTCGACCTGGTTTTTCAGAGTTCCCAGTTGTATTGAAAGCACCATAAATCCAGAGAATGTCAGACTTTGATGACAAAGTTTGATGACAACATTTGCCCACGAAGGACCGCCGCGCCACCTTCCTGTTCAGGTGAGCACAGCACAACAAGGTGAGTCCAACAATGTATTGTATGCTGCTGCATAAATGATGTAATATGCCAGGGAGATGTGTGTGCTGTAGCTAAGAAAGTAATACTAAGTGTATGTTGTGTATTAAGCTGTTAGTGGCCCATGTGTCTCACCCTAATAATTTAATTGTCCGCTTATATGCCCCCTTTATTTATCCTACGGTTCTGACTTGGTGTACAGTCGTGGTCAAAAGTTTTGAGAATGACACAAATACAAATTAACACAAAGTCTGCTGCCTCAGTTTTGATGATGGCAATTTGCATATCCTCCAGAATGTCATGAAGAGTGATCAGATGAATTGCAATTAATTGAACTGAAAATGAAAAAAACATTTCCACTGCATTTCAGCCCTGCCACAAAAGGACCAGCTACCATCATGTCAGTGATTCTCCCGTTAACACAGGTGAGAGTGTTGACAAGGACAAGGCTGGAGATCACTCTGTCATGCTGATTGAGTTAGAATAACAGACTGGAAGCTTTAAAAGGAGGGTGGTGCTTGAAATCATTGTTCTTCCTCTGTTAACCATGGTTACCTGCAAGGAAACACGTGCCGTCATCATTGCTTTGCACAAAAAGGGCTTCACAGGCAAGGATATTGCTGCTAGTAAGATTGCACCTAAATCAACCGTTTATCGGATCATCAAGTACTTCAAGGAGAGAGGTTCAATTGTTGTGAAGAAGGCGTCAGGGCGCCCAAGAAAGTCCAGCAAGCGCCAGGACCGTCTCCTAAAGTTGATTCAGCTGCGGGATTGGGGCACCACCAGTGCAGAGCTTGCTCAGGAATGGCAGCAGGCAGGTGTGAGTGCATCTGCACGCACAGTGAGGCGAAGACTTTTGGAGGATGGCCTGGTGTCAAGAAGGGCAGCAAAGAAGCCACTTCTCTCCAGGAAAAACATCAGGGACAGACTGATATTCTGCAGGTACAGGGATTGGACTGCTGAGGACTGGGGTAAAGTCATTTTCTCTGATTAATCCCCTTTCTGATTGTTTGGGGCATCCGGAAAACACCTTGTCCGGAGAAGACAAGGTGAGCGCTACCATCAGTCCTGTGTCATGCCAACAGTAAAGCATACTGAGACCATTCATGTGTGCGGTTGCTACTCAGCCAAGGGAGAGGGCTCACTCACAATTTTGCCAAAGAACACAGCCATGAATAAAGAATGGCACCAACACATCCTCCGAGAGCAACTTCTCCCAACCATCCAAGAACAGTTTGGTGACGACCAATGCCTTTTCCAGCATGATGGAGCACCTTGCCATAAGGCAAAAGTGATAACTAAGTGGCTCGGGGATCAAAACATCGACATTTTGGGTCCATGGCCAGGAAACTCCCCAGACCTTAATCCCATTGAGAACTTGTGGTCGATCCAAGTGGGTGGACAAACAAAAACCCACAAATTCTGACAAACTCCAAGCATTGATTATGCAAGAATGGGCTGCCATCAGTCAGGATGTGGCCCAGAAGTTAATTGACTGCATGCCAGGGCGGATTGCAGAGGTCTTGAAAAAGAAGGGTCAACACTGCAAATATTGACTCTTTGCATAAACTTAATGTAATTGTCAATAAAAGCCTTTGACACTTATGGAATGCTTGTAATTATACTTCAGTATACCATAGTAACATCTGGCAAAAATATCTCATAACACTGAAGCAGCGAACTTTGTGAAGACCAATACTTGTGTCATTCTCAAAACTTTTGACCACGACTGTACAGGGAGAACACTGTAAGAATGGCCCATGTTCAGAATTCTGTCGCTGTACATTTCAAAAGTGCTGAACAAATAGTTATTGACTACGTCTGTCCTAGCTCATTCATGAATGTCTTAATCAAAATTACGGATTGCCTCTTTTTGCTTGTTTGCCCCACCAAGATGTACATGCTAAAATCGGCACTGATTAGAACGCATATTAAAACACATTATAAACTGGGTGGTTCGAGCCCTGAATGCTGATTGGCTGAAAGCTGTAGTATATCAGATGGTATACCACTGGTATGAGCAAACATTATTTTTTACTGTTCTAATTACGTTGGTAACCAGTTTCTAATAGCAATAAGGCACCTCAGGGGTTTGTGGTATATGGCCAATATACCACGGCTAAGGGCTGTATCCAGGCACTACATATGTATCCACGTTGCGTCGTGCCTAAGAACAGACCTTAGTCGTGGTATATTGGCCATATACCACACCCCCTCGTGTCTTACTGCTTAATTAGAACACATATTAGAACACATATTAGAACACATTAGAACATCTATTAGAACACATTAGAACATCTATTAGAACACATTAGAACACCTATTAGAACACATTAGAACACCTATTAGAACACATTAGAACACCTATTAGAACACATTCGAACACCTACAGTGGGGGGAAAAATGTATTTAGTCAGCCACCAATTGTGCAGGTTCTCCCACTTAAAAAGATGAGAGAGGCCTGTCATTTTCATCACTATGACAGACAAATTTAGAATTTTTTTTCCAGAAAATCACATTGTCAGACGTTTCTAGTAGTTGGCCACCAGGTTTGCACACATCTCAGGAGGGATTTTGTCCCACTCCTCTTTGCAGATCTTCTCCAAGTCATTAAGGTTTCGAGGCTGACGTTTGGCAACTCGAACCTTCAGCTCCCTCCACAGATTTTCTATGGGATTAAGGTCTGGAGACTGGCTAGGCCACTCCAGGACCTTAAAGGGCTTCTTCTTGAGCCACTCCTTTGTTGCCTTGGCCGTGTGTTTTGGGTCATTGTCATGCTGGAATACCCATCCACAACCCATTTTCAATGCCCTGGCTGAGGGAAGGAGGTTCTCACCCAAGATTTGACGGTACATGGCCCCATCCATCTTCCCTTTGATGCGGTAAAGTTGCCCTGTCCCCTTAGCAGAAAAACATCCCCAAAGCATAATGTTTCCACCTCCATGTTTGACGTTGGGGATGGTGTTCTTGGGGTCATAGGAAGCATTCCTCCTCCTCCAAACACGGCGAGTTGAGTTGATGCCAAAGAGCTCCATTTTGGTCTCATCTGACCACAACACTTTCACCCAGTTCTCCTCTGAATCATTCAGATGTTCATTGTCAAACTTCAGACGGGCCTGTATATTTGCTTTCTTGAGCAGGAGGACCTTGCGGGCGCTGCAGGATTTCAGTCCTTCACGGCATAGTGTGTTACCAATTGTTTTCTTGGTGACTATGGTCCCAGCTGCCTAGAGATCATTGACAAGATCCTCCCGTGTAGTTATGGGCTGATTCCTCACCGTTCTCATGATCATTGCAACTCCACGAGGTGAGATCTTGCATGGAGCCCCAGGCCGAGGGAGATTGACCGGTCTTTTGTGTTTCTTCCATTTGCGAATAATCGCACCAACTGTTGTCACCTTCTCACCAAGCTGCTTGGCGATGGTCTTGTAGCCCATTCCAGCCTTGTGTAGGTCTACAATCTTGTCCCTGACATCCTTGGAGAGCTCTTTGGTCTTGGCCATGGTGGAGAGTTTGGAATCTGATTGATTGATTGCTTCTGTGGACAGGTGTCTTTTATACAGGTAACAAACTGAGATTAGGAGCACTCCCTTTAAGAGTGTGCTCCTAATCTCAGCTCGTTACCTGTATAAAAGACACCTGGGAGCCAGAAATCTTTCTGATTGAGAGGGGGTCAAATACTTATTTCCCTCATTAAAATGCAAATCAATTTATAACGTTTTTGACATGATTTTTCTGGATTATTTTGTTGTTATTCTGTCTCTCACTGTTCAAATAAACCTACCATTAAAATTATAGACTGATCATTTCTTTGTCAGTGGGCAAACGTACAAAATCAGCAGGGGATCAAATACTTTTTTCCCTCACTGTAGGCTAATTGATGAATCTATCTTGCAACATGATCATATTTAGGAGTTAGCAATCTAGCTAAGTGTTTAGAGTCCACTTCCTCAGGTGGTTAATCAGCCTAGGCAGCCGACAGAGGGCGCTACATCTACACTATCGTCTAGGATCGATGTGCCCAGGGTTACAATTAGGGTTCAAATTAAGGTTAGGGGTTACGGTTAGGTTTAGGTATAGTTTTAGGCTTAGGTTTAGATTTAGGGTTAGGGTAAATATAATTTCGGATGGGAATCAATTATTTGGTCCCCACAAGGATAGCAATACATAACTGTGTGTGTGTGTGTGTGTGTGTGTGTGTGTGTGTGTCAGTAACACGTCGGAGGATAAGACCGGCAGAGACAGCTGAATGGAGGTCTTTCTCTTCAACACAGTTCCAAATGGCACCCTGACCCCCTATATAGTACACTATTTTGACCAGGGCCCCAATCGTATGTGTTCCAAATCGCACCCTATCCCCTATTGGTTCACCGATTGGGTTCTGGTCTAGAGTAGTGCACTATAAAGGGAATAGGGTACTGTTTGGAACGCCGCCCATGTCCTTCTGTCTCAGAACAGCCCACAGAGTCTCAGGAACCTCAGCGAGGCACAATGGACACAACAAGCTACCCCAATAAAGGCTCGCATTGTCTTAAAACCTTACACCGCGCTGCACACACCCACACCCAGAGGAACAATGGACTTAGTTCTCATCCAACTGTTTTATACTCTACCCCCGGTCCTCTGGTCGCATGCCGATCGCCCTACAACACCATTTATCCCAGTTATGAAACTAGGTGATTAGGGTTGAAAAATTCCAGTAGCTTTCCCAAAATTTCCAGATCGGATGATTCCTTGGAATAAACAGGAAATCCAGGAATCCATCAACCGGGATTTCTGGAAAACTGTGGTAAAGTTAGCTGAATTTTGCAACCCTAAAAGGTGATTGTTGGTGCTGTTAAGTTACTGTTACAGTTTGTATCATCTTCAGAAATTGATTCAATCTCATCCAATATCGTTTCGTTTCAGGTTAAAGTTTTCTCTCACAGTGAGGCTTATAAGTGTTCCATAAGCTAAATCTTATTTGAGCCAAAAAATTACACAAATGTGATACTACATAAGAGGATCTGTGTTGACCTATTTCTCTGGTATGCCTCCAGCCCTACACACACGCATGCACACTGCTGCAACCACAATCCCCTAGAGTCTAACTAACTACAGCCACTGAACCAGAGACCATGGAACCCTCAGAATGTTCAGAATGCTGTTCAGAATGATCAGAGCTGGGACCCTCAGAATGTTCAGAATGCTGTTCAGAATGATCAGAGCTGGGACCCTCAGAATGTTCAGAATACTGTTCAGAATGATCAGAGCTGGGACCCTCAGAATGTTCAGAATGCTGTTCAGAATGATCAGAGCTGGGACCCTCAGAATGTTCAGAATGCTGTTCAGAATGATCAGAGCTGGGACCCTCAGAATGTTCAGAATGCTGTTCAGAATGATCAGAGCTGGGACCCTCAGAATGTTCAGAATACTGTTCAGAATGATCAGAGCTGGGACCCTCAGAATGTTCAGAATACTGTTCAGAATGACCAGAGCTGGGACCCTCAGAATGTTCAGAATGCTGTTCAGAATGATCAGAGCTGGGACCCTCAGAATGTTCAGAATGCTGTTCAGAATGATCAGAGCTGGGACCCTCAGAATGTTCAGAATACTGTTCAGAATGACCAGAGCTGGGACCCTCAGAATGTTCAGAATGCTGTTCAGAATGACCAGAGCTGGGACCCTCAGAATGTTCAGAATGCTCAGAATGTGTAGAAGTGTCCAACAGAACACAACGGAACCCACAGCCTGGCTGGCCCTCTCCTCCCCCCTCTTATCCTCTCCTCCTCCCTCCCCTTCTCTCCCCTCCTCCTCCTCCTCCCCCTCCTTACCCCTCTCCTCCTCCTCTCCTCCCTGTTCCCACTCTGTTTGGTACAGAGAGTGTTTATTATTAGAGGTTTGGTCAACAGCTGCTGTCGCTTCTCCTCAACCCCTCAACCATCAAGTTGAAGACACACTTACAAGGCAACACGCATGTGCCCCACACACTCAAACACACTTCAAGTACACGCACACGCACACAGTATGAACTTGAAACGCTAACACATAAAAAAAAACATACAGACACGGAGCTGCTGTTTTGGCTGTTCTCCCTGACTCTTCTCTTTGGTTCTGTTTTCCATATCTATAATATCATAATATAATATGGCATTTAGCAGACGCTTTTATCCAAAGTGACTTACAGTCATGTGTGCATATCTAAGGCTGACAATGAGGACTCAACAGAATCAACAACCTCTGCATAATCAAAACAGTTGCTTTGTGAGTTCACAGTTAGCCATTGTTATGTAAATGCCAGATGAAAAATACCAGTGGCCTGGCTTTGGCACCCAAGTGAGAGCAGGCCCGCCTGCGCCACGGCCCAGTGAGACAGGGGTGCTGGCCCCTGTAGACGGAACCAGAAAACTTAGCATTTTTGGGGTAAAACACAGGGGATAAATCCTGGATGGAAATACGCCATGTGTGTCTTGTGGTCTGATAGGTCTAGATACTGCTGCCTCCCTGCTGGCTGACCTGTGGACTGGCCCTGCTACATCACCCAGACCCAGATACTGCAGGCTGGCCTTCACCCAGACCCAGATACTGCAGGCTGGCCTTCACCCAGACCCAGATACTGCAGGCTGGCCTGTAGACTGGCCCTGCTACATCACCCAGACCCAGATACTGCAGGCTGGCCTTCACCCAGACCCAGATACTGCAGGCTGACCTTCACCCAGACCCAGATACTGCAGGCTGACCTTCACCCAGACCCAGATACTGCAGGCTGACCTTCACCCAGACCCAGATACTGCAGGCTGACCTTCACCCAGACCCAGATACTGCAGGCTGACCTTCACCCAGCACAGATGCTCTGCCAAGGACACACAAAATGGTCCTGCTGCTGAGCAACAACAAAATGACATGCTATTTCATATGTAGTGCTTTTAAACCATTTACATTTAACATTTTTAGTCATTTAGCAGACGCTCTTATCCAGAGCGATTTACAGTCAGTGAGTGCGTACGTTTTCAGAGCCCATAGGGAATTGGGGGTGCCTGCATACCATCCTGAGGTTATGTTCAACTGCTGGATTTACTGCTTCCGATAATAGTGAGACACTGTGCTGCACTGTCCGTCTGTCTGTCTGTCTGCACGGACGGCACAAACTGGCCTGGGCTACAATACATCCTTAATGGAACACCATACAGTGCCTTCAGAATTTACTCATACCCCTTGACTTCTTCCACATGTTGTTGTGTTACAGCCCGAATTAAACAATTATTATTTTTATTTTCATCCATCTACATACAATACCCATAATGAAAAAAGTGAAAACATGTTTTTAGACATTTTGCACATATATTGAAAATGAAAACGAGAAATATCTCACTTACATAAATATTCACACCCCTGAGTCAATACTTTGTAGAAACACCTCTGGCAGCGATTACAGCTGTGAGTGTTTCTGGGTAAGTCTCTAAGAACTTTACACACCTGGATTGTACAGTATTATTTTCAAAATTCTTCAAGCTCTGTCAAGTTGGATGTTGATCATTGCTGGACAACCATTTTCAGGTCTTGCCATAGATTTTCAAGCAGATTTAAGTCAAAACCGTAACTCAGCCACTCAGGAACATTCACTGTCTTCTTGGTAAGCAACCAGTGTATATTTGGTCTTGTGTTTTAGGTTATTGTCCTGCTGAAAGGTAAACATCTCCCAGGGTCTGGTGGAAAGCAGACTGAAGCAGGTTTTCCTCTAGGATTTTGCCTGTGCTTAACTCCATTCCGTTTCTTTTTTTATCCTGAAAAACTCCCCAGTCCTTAAAGATTCTGTGCATCGGCAAGATTCTGTGCATCGCCAAGACAGAACAGCTGCCTCTGGTAAGACAAGGGGTGGCGGTCTGTGTCTATTTGTCAATAACAGCTGGTGCGCGAAATGTATTATTAAGGAAGTCTCTAGGTTTTGCTCGCCTGAGGTAGAGTATCTCATGATAAACTGTAGACCACACTATTTACCAAGAGAGTTTTCATCTATATTTTTCGTAGCTGTCTATTTACCACCACAAACCGATGCTGGCACTAAGATCGCACTCAACGAGCTGTATAAGGCCATAAGCAAACAGGAAAATGCTCATCCAGAGGCGGCGCTCCTAGTGGCCGGGAACTTTAATGAAGGGAAACTTAAATCCGTTTTACCTCATTTCTACCAGCATGTCACATGTGCAACCAGAGGGGAAAAAACTCTAGACCACCTTTACTCCACACACAGAGACGCGTACAAAGTTCTTCCTCGCCCTCTATTTGGCAAATCTGACCATAATTCTATCCTCCTGATTCCTGCTTACAAGCAAAAACTAAAGCAGGAAGTACCAGTGACTCGCTCAATACGGAGGTGGTCAGATGACGCAGATATTAATCCTACTTAACTGGCTCGTCGGATGTGGCAGGGCCTGCAAACTATTACGGACTACAAAGGGAAACCCAGCCGCGAGCTGCCGGTGACACGAGCCTACCAGAAGAGCTAAATAACTTCTATGCTCGCTTCGAGGCAAGCAACACTGAAGCATGCATGAGAGCACCAGCTGTTCCGGACGACTGTGTGATCACGGTCTCCGTAGCCGATCTGAGTAAGACTTTTAAGCAGGTCAACATTCACAAGGCCGCAGGGCCAGATGGATTACCAGGACGTGTACTCCGAGCATGCGCTGATCAACTGACAAGTGTCTTCACTGACATTTTCAACATGTCTCTGACTGAGTATGTAATACTTACATGTTTCAAACAGATACCATTATCCCAGAAACCCTAGACCCACTCTAATTCGCATACCGCCCCAACAAATCGACAGATGACTTAATCTCTATTGCACTCCACACACCCTTTCCCACGTGGACAAAAGGAAAACCTAAGTGAGAATGCTGTTCATTGACTACAGCTCATCACTAAGCTAAGGACCCTGGGACTAAACACCACCCTCTGCAACTGGATCCTGGACTTCCTGACGGGCCGCCCCCAGGTGGTAAGGGTAGGCAACAACACATCTGCCACGCTGATTCTCAACACTGGGGCCCCTCAGGGGTGTGTGCTTAGTCCCCTCCTGTACTCCCATGACTGCGTGGCCAAGCACAACTCCAACACCATCATTAAGTTTGCAGACGACACAACAGTGGTAGGCCTGATCACCGACAACGATGACACAGCCTATAAGGAGGAGGTCAGAGACCTGGCCGTGTGGTGCCAGGATAACAACCTCTCCCTCAGTGTGATCAAGACAAAGGAGATGATCGTGGACTACAGGAAAAGGAGGGCCGAGCAGGCCGCATTCTCATCGACGGAGCTGTAGTGGAGCAGGTTGAGAGCTTCAAGTTCCTTGGTGTCCACATAACCAACAAACTATCATGGTCCAAACACACCAAGACAGTTGTGAAGAGGGCACAACAACGCCTATTCCCCCTCAGGAGACTGAAAAGATTTAGCATGGGTCCTCAGATCCTGCCATCCAGGACCTCTATACCAGGCGGTGTCAGAGGAAGGACCTAAAAAATTACCAAAGACTCCAGTCACCCAAGTCATAGACTGTTCTCTCTGCTACCGCACGGCAAGCGGTACCGGAACGCCAAGTCTAGGTCCAAAAGGCTTCTTAACAGCTTCTACCCCCAAGCCATAAGACTGCTGAACAACAAATCAAATGGCTACCCGGACTATTTGCATCCCCCCCCCCACCCCATTTTTATGCTGCTGCTAATCGCTGTTTATTATCAATGCATAGTCACTTTACCCCTATCTACATGTACATATTACCTCAATTACCTTGACTAACCTGTACCCCCGCACATTAACTCACTACCGGTACCCCCTGTATATATTACCCATTAACTCGCTACCGGTACCCCCTGTATATATTACCCATTAACCCGCTACCGGTACCCCCTGTATATATTACCCATTAACCCGCTACCGGTACCCCCTGTATATATTACCCATTAACTCTCTACCGGTACCCCCTGTATATATTACACATTAACTCGCTACCGGTACCCCCTGTATATATTACACATTAACTCGCTACCGGTACCCCCTGTATATATTACTGCCTCGTTATTGTTATTTTATTGTTACTCTGTCCCTGGTCTATGGGGTCTCTCTCTGTCCCTGGTCTATGGGGTCTCTCTATGTCCCTGGTCTATGGGGTCTCTCTCTCTCCCTGGTCTATGGGGTCTCTCTCTGTCCCTGGTCTATGGGGTCTCTCTCTGTCCCTGGTCTATGGGGTCTCTCTCTATCTCTGGTCTATGGGGTCTCTCTCTGTCCCTGGTCTATGAGGTCTCTCTCTGTCCCTGGTCTATGGGGTCTCTCTCTGTCCCTGGTCTATGGGGTCTCTCTCTGTCCCTGGTCTATGGGGTCTCTCTCTGTCCCTGGTCTATGGGGTCTCTCTCCGTCCCTGGTTTTGGCCGGTGTAGGCCGTCATTGTAAATAAGAATTAGTTCTTAACTGACTTGCCTTGTTAAATAAAGGTAAAATACAAATAAATAATGTGTCAAGACACTAAGATCAAAAGAGGGAGGGATAGCAGTGAGCAGCCACACACACACACACACACACCTAAAAGGGCACACAGTTCTCCCTGTCCCTGTTATGATGTATGCCATGCCAGACCCACACTGAAACCGGAGAGGGAGACGTGACAGAAGATTCCTGCTATTTAAATGACAGGACACCATGGCATCCCTCCTGCTATTTAAATCCCCCCCCCCCCCCCATGCCCCTCTCTGAGAGCTGGGGCTGGTTAGGGCAGTGGCTGGGGCTGGTTAGGGCAGTGGCTGGGGCTGGTTAGGGCAGTGGCTGGGGCTGGTTAGGGCAGTGGCTGGGGTTAGGAAGGTGCAGTTACACACTGGTCAGGGCCAGTGTCATTCTACTGTCAAACAGAAACACCCCTGGATGTGTTTAGTCATAACAGACATGCCATTCCAATACGGGTACAGCACATCTCACTGTGACGGCGCGGCGCGGCTCCTCTGCTGTAGCAGTAGATCGGTAGACAACATGCCTAAAGCATGCGTTCAGACGGCGACATGTCTTAGACTGACTTACAACCAGAGTAGAGTTACAGTTAGTCTCTGGAGAGCAAGCTTCCGACCGAGCGCAAAACCCCCGTACTCCGTATTCACAGTCAGAATCAGCCTCCCTTCACTCCTTGGAGAACAGCACTTTTCTTTCTGTAGATTACAGTACCAATACACCACTAACCCTAACCCTAAGTAAGACGGAGGGAGAGAGACGTTTGACTACATCCTACATTCAGAGGGATGACAACAAGTTGAGCTACTGCTGAATTGTAGGACGATGATGAATAACAGTAAAATATCTTGAAGGACTTTTCCCTCCGTCCGTCCGTCTCTCTCTCTCTCTCTCTCTCTCTCTCTCTTAGTTATTCTCCCCTCCTCTGGATGGTGTCAGTCTCTGGGTACACAGACAGAGGAGAGGAGGGGAGAGGAGAGCTGCCAGAAAGGCAGTAAGCAGCAGCAGCAGTCTCTGTGTGCGGCCCTTACCCTGCTGGTCTGCCCCTCTCTGATCTAACACCTCCCACCGAGAGAGAAACTCTGGCTGCGTCCCAAATGGCACCCTATTCCCTACATAGTGCACTACTTCAGACCAGAGCATATTCCCTTAGGCTCTGGTCAAAGATAGTGCACTATGTAGTGAACAGGGTGCCATTTGGGACGCAGTCCTGAGGCACAGACAGGATGGGCCAAAAGCTTGGTCATCAACACCGCAGCACAGAAAACTGCACTGGACAGGGAAATGGGCAGCCTGCTTGCTGCTGAGTCTATCGGGGGGACAAATTGCACTGAAATGCACTGAAATGAATGCACTGAAACGGAGGCACTGAAATGGCTTGAAAATGAGCTATTGAAAAAAAAAAAAAAAAAAACCTTGTTAGGTTACTCAAACAAAAGTGAATTATTATCTAGGGTTAAGATTTAGCAGCGGAAAACATGTTGTTGAAAGTAACATTCACTGTCTGGGGAAGATGTTAGGTTGTGGTGGAGCAGGATCCAGAATGAGGAAACTCCCCAATGGCAACAATGGTACACAGTAGACAGACATTAGGTTGCTGTACAATGAGTTTCAGCCGAGTCATTTAACGTTCACCTAGTGATAGAAGGTTAACGAGGTATGACTGGAAATCAGACCGCCCCACCAGGAGCGGTCTGAGGGGTCAGAGTATGAGAGCCCAGTTGAGCGGTTGGAAATCTGAACTAAAAACCGTTCAGTGCTCACAGGAAGAAAAGAAAAACTCGCTCCACTCATTAAAAATCACAATTTAACCAAAACCAATCTATTTTTTGTGACTGCCTAGACCTACCATTTGGTTTTGAAGTACGGAAACCAAACCGTATGGATTTGAATGAAAAAGTATTTAAATAAACATGAAAAGGTGACTGTAAGACTAGACTATATTAAACAGAATATAAACACTGTAAATAGGTCAAGCAGCCAGACAGGAAGCCTTAGAAGGAACCAAAATGAATTATTCAGTCTATTTTATTTCAATGATTTCAAGGCTACAGCCTACAAAGAAATACATTGTGAAGCATTTGCGAGTGCGACACAATAGGCTGGTAGGAACATAAAGAGCTCAGCATTTAAACAAAATGTTGTTTGATTCAATCATTACAGTCTATAAATTGCGCATTTAGGCTGTGACTTACTTAGAATTAAATACAAAATTAAAACGGAAAAAGGACTTATTAGTGCCTTGGAATTCATTTTTAGAATTCATTTTTAGAAACACGAGTTTGGCCCAGTGTAGTAGGGTCAAGTTGCCCCTAGACGCCGATCTGGGGTCAGTTGTGCATTTTCCCCACTAATGGTTGAGGTTAGGATTGGGAGAAGGGAAAGCTGATTCTAGATCTGTACCTAGGGAAAACTTCATCCCGGGAGCAAAACTGGAGGGCCCTGGGCCCCATTACCCAGGATGCACCAGAAGCCCTCGGCTCAGCTCCTGCTCCTCCAAACCTCAGCGTCTCATACAATATTCAACCGTGGTCGGAGATGGGGTCTCCATGTGACACACAACCAGAAAGCGGAGCACACTGAGGCGGGGCCCTGAGGCTGCCTGCCTATTAAGACAACTCAGTGAACCCACCAGGACACACACCACACCACACACCACATACACACCACACACCACACACCACACACCACATACACACCACACCACACACCACACACACACCACACCACACCACACACCACACCACACACCACACACCACACCACATACACACCACACACCACACCACATCACACACCACACACCACATACACACCACACCACATACACACCACACCACACACCACACACCACACACCACACCACACAAATTCCCCTTTCCCCAAGTCTCAGGTGTGAGTGACTAGGCTGAACCCATCCTTCTAATAGTACTCATAAATAATAAAACAGAGAGTATGAAGTAGCAGAGTCTAACAGCCAGTCAGCCAGCACACACACACTGCATATGAATCATGTAGGCTACACACTAACTCACTGAATCTGTGTCAGTAGGTCATTAAGCTTCTGCGTGAGTGTGTGTGCGATCGTGCGTGCGTGTGTTTTTTTTTTTAGTCATTTAGCAGACGCTCTTATCCAGAGCGACTTACAGTTAGTGAGTGCATACATCGTTTTATTTTTTTTCATACCCCCCCCGTGGGAATCGAACCCACAACCCTGCCGTTGCAAGCACCATGCTCTACCAACTGATCTACATCCCATATAATAATGGACAATAAGTACTTAAGGACCAAAACTGATCGCTTAGGTGAAGAAAAAAAGGTGTGTGTGTCTGTGTCTTTATGAGTAATAGCCAGCTTTTGAACCCCCCCCCCCCAAAAAAAAATAATAATAATAATATGAAAAACAGATCAATAAAATTGGCGAAAGGCCAATTGTCTGGGAGAAGAAGAAAAAATCCCATTGCAAAATAATGCTTTTTAGCCCATTAATTGACGTAAATACCAGTCGATGTAAAAACATTTGACCGGTCATGCTTATCGGTCTACAGGGATATTTGCCGTGTGTGTATTTCCGCTAGTCGTTATTGTAGCCTAGCGTATTTATCACAGCATGCAGATACAGAGGCTAGTTTGAGCGGATAATCTGTCAGACATGTTGCGTGAGAGCCGCCGCTACAGGTCAAACGGCATGTTCCTTCCTGTTCCTGCTGGAGTGGGATGAGGTACAGGGGGGGGGGAAAGTATTTCATCCCCTGCTGATATTGTTCGTTTGCCCACTGACAAAGAAATTATCAGTCTATAATTTTAATGGTAGGTTTACTTGAACAGTGAGAGACAGAATAACAACAAAAAAATCCAGAATAACGCATGTCAAAACTGTTATAAATTGATTTGCATTTTAATGAGGGAAATAAGTATTTGACCCCCTCTCAATCAGAAAGATTTCTGTCTCCCAGGTGTCTTTTATACAGGTAACGAGCTGAGATTAGGAGCACACTCTTAAAGGGAGTGCTCCTAATCTCAGTTTGTTACCTGTATAAAAAGACACCTGTCCACAGAAGCAATCAATCAATCAGATTCCAAACTCTCCACCATGGCCAAGACCAAAGAGCTCTCCAAGGATGTCAGGGACAACATTGTAGACCTACACAAGGCTGGAATGGGCTACAAGACCATCGGCAAGCAGCTTGATGAGAAGGTGACAACAGTTGGTGTGATTATTCGCAAATGGAAGAAACACAAAATAACTGTCAATCTCCCTCGGCCTGGGTCTCCATGCAAGATCTCACCTCGTGGAGTTGCAATGATCATGAGAACGGTGAGGAATCAGCCCAGAACTACACGGGAGGATCTTGTCAATGATCTCAAGGCAGCTGGGACCACACACTACGCCGTGAAGGACTGAAATCCTGCAGCGCCCGCAAGGTCCCCCTGCTCAAGAAAGCACATATACAGGCCTGTCTGAAGTTTGCCAATGAACATCTGAATGATTCAGAGGAGAACTGGGTGAAAGTGTTGTGGTAAGATGAGACCAAAATCGAGCTCTTTTGGCATCAACTCAACTCGCCGTGTTTGGAGGAGGAGGATTGCTACCTATGACCCCAAGAACACCATCCCCACCGTCAAACATGGAGGTGGAAACATTATGCTTTAGGGGTGTTTTTCTGCTAAGGGGACAGGACAACTGCACCGCATCAAAGGGACGATGGACGGGGCCATGTACCGTCAAATCTTGGGTGAGAACCTCCTTCCCTCAGCCAGGGCATTGAAAATGGGTCGTGGATGGGTATTCCAGCATGACAATGACCCAAAACACACGTCCAAGGCAACAAAGGAGTGGCTCAAGAAGAAGCACATTAAGGTCCTGGAGTGGCCTAGCCAGTGTCCAGACCTTAATCCCATAGAAAATCTCTGGAGGGAGCTGAAGGTTCGAGTTGCCAAACGTCAGCCTTGAAACCTTAATGACTTGGAGAAGATCTGCAAAGAGGAGTGGGACAAAATCCCTCCTGAGATGTGTGCAAACCTGGTGGCCAACTACAAGAAACGTCTGACCTCTGTGATTGCCAACAAGGGTTTTGCCACCAAGTACTAAGTCATGTTTTGCAGAGGGGTCAAATACTTATTTCCCTCATTAAAATGCAAATCAATTTATAACATTTTTGACATGCGTTTTTCTGGATTTTTTTGTTGTTATTCTGTCTCTCACTG